ACGGGCACAGTAGAAAAATCTTGCATGGTTAACTAATGGAGACCTGGCTATGGCAGCCAGGTTGTACCTGCTGACCTCTGTTTCAGTGAGTTTGAATAATTGTCATAGTTCTGAAAGTATTCAGGCTTTCACGTGCTCATGCTTTAAGCTCAGTGCTTTAACATTGCCAGTTAGTTATCTCAAGGTTATTTTGTCTTTTGTGATTGTGCTATACGCATGTTTCGCAAGTTATTCTGTGCGGGGATTTTTGTTTTGGATATGAGGGTAGCAACAAAGTCTCCTGCAGGAAGAAGAGGCTGAATCTGCTATAGCAATGCTCTTTGTTAGGCCACAAGGAAGAAACAAACAAAACGATGCATGTAACCGGTTAACATCATGCTTTGACCTATATTAGTGTATTTAACTTTACAGATCACATTAGTGATCAAAGGCTACCTGAAAATTGCCTTTCCTCAGCTCCTGTACATGTGAAAAAATGTTTGTGATAGCTTGTGTTTATCTGACTAAAGATGAGCTCGCTATTCATAAACTTGTTTGAAATGGCGGGCAACATGTAGAATGGCAAGGTGCTATCCTAATAAGGCTGGGGTAGAAAAATACTAAGAATGTTGCTCTCACTTGGGCTACAGCATGCAAGCATAGGTCTGTTTTGGGGTCTGCTAAAGTTCGAATATCTTGTGTGTTTCCTAGAAATATTTCTTTCTCTAGAGGAACTGTATGATTTATTGTGCTTTACACTGACTGCCATCTGGAAACATGGAATAAGAGGAAAGAGGATTTTGATTTTCTCACATGCTAAGCTACCGTTCTCAAACTAGTGCTAATCTTGAAGACCAGCCACAAGAGTGGAGGCTGGCCTACCTCTACCTCAGTACATCTTTTACGTAGGTGTCATCAAATTGTTTAATTAAAGTGTGTTTTTTTTTCAGTTGCATGGAGAACGGGTGCTGAGTTAGTATAAACATAGAGACCTGCATAGAACAGTAATTATTTAGAGTATGTGAAGAGCTCAGTTAGTTGAAATCAGTTGGAGTTTCTCCATGGACTTTATCAGGGGTTTAAGTAGTTCTTAAATGCTGTTTTTCATATTAGCTAGGCCAGAGGTGATTTTTTTTTTGCACTCTATACAGTTAGATCCTATGCAGTGAGGACAATTAAGTGAACCATCTTCATTGAGACAGGTTCCCTGATTCTCTGAGCTACTCGGAAAAATGGCAGTAAGTTGTGCGTATCTGGCATGTAACAAGACATCGTTAGGCATTGTAACAAAAGTTCAACTCTAATTTTTCAATAATCTCTACTGTTCTATTTTTTCAAGTTCACCCATATTTATAAAGGAAAAACGGAACTCAGCCATAGGATGCTTGAAGATACAAGTATAGAGTCCTGAGTGCTATTTATAGATTTGTGGATTGTCACTGTTGCATCATTATTTCTTACTGATTAACACCTTAACACCTACCTCATGTTTCAAGCAACTGTTACAACAGTTACAACCCAGCTAGAGAGGTAGAAGGGTTTCGTGGATTGTAAGAACCCTTTTTCCCCCTGTTGTAACTCTTCTGTTCTTTTTTCCATGGAATCTTTCCATTTGTTTTTATAACTTGCTTTGAAAACCACAACATCAGATGTTATTTGCCTTGTAAGGTTTGCCTAAGTGATTAACATACTCTAGAGGTTTATCTAAAAATCACCTTTGGAGCTACATGAGGTTAATGATAAGTTTGTGTATTTTATGTAGTTTCAGTTAAGATTCTACAACTATTAAGTTGCATTTACAAGACCAGGAGCTTTATTTCTGTGAGAAAATGGGGTGGCCAAAGAAGGAAGAATTCACGAAAAACTAAGGATGTACAGTCCTGACCAGTATGGCTAAAGAGTCTAGAAATAATTTGGATGCTCACCTTTTTTCTTTTTTTTTTTTTTTGCCGCCTTATTTGTATCTTGGTTTTGATGTGTGGGTCATTTCCTGCCATACTTTGAGCTGACAACACTATATAGTTCATTTTGAAGAAACGGAGGCATTCTGGGCTTTGAGACATCCCCCTTGCATTTCCATTAATTTGCATTTCAGACAGTTTGCTAATTCTCTTGGACCGTGTTTTCTCATAAAAATAATTCAAGGATCCTTCTGGATCCCTTACTGGAGATATGATATTTTGGGATGGGTTTTTTCGAGATAAGCTTTTACTGGAGTAGTTTTTATCTGAGAGTGACTTAATTTGTAATTGATGACAGGATACTTCATTGTAAATTGTATGTATTAGTCATTGTTTACCTATGTTTTTGGAGGAGGAGGCAGCAATTAGGTAACGGTAGAAACATATTAGAACTTCAGAGGGTAACGGGGTCTCTCACATTGCCCTTACAGTCTGCAGAAAAAAAGCAAAAACAAATTGTCACTACCTAATACCAAGCTTGTCTCAAGTTGGCATAATACCTAGCACAATGGGGGATTATTTTCCATGACTGAGTCTCACATACCCTCGTTGAGTAATGGAAGGAAAAAAAAAAAAGTAAAATAGCAGAGGAACAGAAATACTATTGAAGGTAAAAGAAAACTTTTCATCTAGAGCATCCCATACATATTGCTGCTCTGTTTAGGAATTAGACTGAGGTATTGAACGTAATGACCTCTCTTGCTTAATAAAAGTTAACTTCATGATTTTCGTGCTTGATATCTAGGCACTCGGAGTTTCCAGGTGCATTTTTAGATTGCAGTAACAAAACTGGAGTTGCTTTTTCAAAAAAAAAAAAAACTGTTTCAGTGAAGCAAAATTTTGTTGGTTGATGTGGCAAGCAGAACAAGCTCACAGGGGTCAGAATAGAGCTCAGCATTTGGAGCACCCTTGTGATTGGAGAGCAGGAGAGGTGGAGCCTGGCTGAGTGTGTGTGGTGTTTTTTTTAACTCTTGGGGAGGGGTGTCACAGAAACAGAACTCAAATAGTCAAAGTCCCATCTTGTTGTCTGGGTTATCTCCCCCCCGCCCCCTAAAGTCCTTATCATTGGACTGGTTGTGTCATAAGCAGGATATCGTGTCCAAGGGAACTTTGATGTAACTGCAAAGTAGAGAAAACTAGCGTAGTATTTAAAAAAAAAAAAAAAAAAAAACAGGGTGGGGGAGCAGGGGTAGAAAGTTGACTCAAACTGTGTGAATATAGTTTTTTCCTCT